ATAACACCGTATCCCACTGTATAACACTGTATCCCACTGTATACCACTGTATAGCACTGTATCCCACTGTATACTACTGTATCCAACTGTATCCCACTGTAAACCAACATATCAAACAGACACTGGGTCCTGATTTGAAAATACCTTACTCGATTGTACATTTGCTTATCTGAATCTTGAATGCAGATTCCAGGGAACAAGATGACATCTTTGAACCTAGCCACCATCTTTGGCCCAAATCTTCTCCACAAACAGAAGAACTCCGACAAGGAGTTCAGTGTCCAGAGTTCGGCCAGGGCCGAGGAGAGCACGGCGGTCATCGCCGTGTTGCAGAGGATGATCGCGAGCTACGGAACTCTATTCATGGTCAGTGACTCTGCCTAATCTACTGACAACTTTAGAATTAAAATACAACCAGACTGATAGAAGACAGATGCAAAAGAAATGGGTTTATTTACGGTCACAAAGCAACCCAACAGCAGACTAAAGAGCTTCCCATCCACATTGTATGACCTATTTTTCTAGTACGTTGTAATTCTTTGTGTACTTGCAAAAGACGCAAACATTTTTCAATAATTTCTCAACAGTCAAGCAGTTTGGGTCATTCCAGGGTCAAAGATTTGGGCTATGTTTTTTTTTTTTAATCTACATTGTAGTCCAACACAGAGATACTGATTGCATCCCTGAACTGTTTCTAACTAATTCGCTTAGTCTGAGTAAGAAATTATTTATAGGCTGACCGAGTTCTTTTAAAGACTTTACAAAGTTGCAATGTACCCTGCTTAAATCTGGTTGTTGAGCATCAGACCATTTATTTTCAGCGCATATGAGAGAATCATTTCCCTTTTTACAGTAACTGATATGCATACATAAAATCTGGCAACACAGGCTTCAATAGGATCATAACCATTTTCGTTTGGCATTCAACTCCATTGTTTTGGTCCCTTACACCTGCTTTTTCTTTTACTTTTACATACAAACATATGAATTTTCTTTAGTTTTTCACATGGTAGCGGTGTGCAATGTTGGAAGTCTGTGGCGCACAACTGAAAAATAAGTAGATATGAACATTGTTTAGAATAGATGTATTCCAACAAATGTAGCCACAATGCATCGCAAAATATGAACTTTAAGCATGCATACTGGTAACTGTAATAAGTTCAGTTGTAAACTTTGTTTTAGCATTGTGTTAAGACTAATCTTCTTGCCTAATGTACATAGTCCTCTAGCAAGAAAGTCTTCATGGATCACCATGAGCATGTAAAAACGAATGAAAGAATTCTAAAAAGGTTACACCCAGCCACCATTTGGGAGAAAATGTATTGTAGGGTGCATATTTAGCAGATTTACCAATGAACTCAGACAGTTTATGTTTTAGGTGTCCCCTGATTTGCAAAATGAAGTTCTGATGAGCCTTTTGGAGACCGATCCTGATGTGGTCGATTATCTCCTCAGGAGAAAAGCCTCACAGTGAGTTGCGCTCATCGTTGTCTGGTTAGAGTCCTTTTTCCTTCAACCTTTCATTGTGGTTTTCATTTTATAACAGGAGTCCTGACATTTTGCAGTCAGAGGAGGCCTTCAACCTGAGCGAGCGGCATTCGTCAAGTGACTCCAACAAGGCATCCAGCGGTGAGGTGTCTCCTTATGACAACAACTCTCCGGTGTTAAGCGATCGCAGAGGGGAACCGGGGAGCCTGGCCAGCGACCCACAACAGTACTCTGTTGTGGGGCAGGTGGCTGGACTCGACAGTTGGGGGTCCAAAGGTCAGCGTGGAAATGACATGAGGCTCCAAACTGAAATTAATTTTGCTGTTGCCACATTAAGTAACGATAAATGTTCTTCTTTCAGAGGAGCCTGTTAACATTTGGGGCACGTGGCACAGTACTCTTAAACCAGCTCTCAACGATCAGTCGTACACAGGTAACCAGTTTTAAATTAGCTGAGATCATTTATAAGTATGAGAACTTTTCATTGTACTTCACTGTGCAAGGATAATAAAACCATTCTGATTCTGATTTAGACAAGAAGTTCCAAAGTTTAGGGGAAAGGACCATTCTGTGTGTTGAGAAAACACCAATTTAAGGGGCTTAAGAGACAAATATTTTTTTTTTTCAAATATTGCTACAAAAAAAGGCAGTTGGCTCAGCTCGTAGAGCTTTTGCCTCTCGGCGAGAAGGTTGCCAGTTCAAATCCTGGCCCGGAACCTTTCTGGGTGGTATTTGCATGTTCTCTCTGTGCATGCGTGGGTTTTCTCCAGGTACTCTGGATTCCTCCTACAGACCAAAAACATGCATGTTAGGCTGATTGGTAACTCTAAATTGTCTCTAGGTGAGAGTGAAAGAGTGATAGTCTCGTTTGTCTCTATGTGTCCCTGTGTTGGGCCGGAGACCTGTCCAGGGTGTACCCCGCCTCTCGTACTGTGACTGCTGGACATGGGCACCAGTGACCCCTGCGACCCAAAAAGTAAGAATCGGGTAAAGATAATGGATGGATGGATGGATGCTACAAAAACTAAAATAAGTGCTTAATAGCAACCTCCTATTAGCTACAAGTATAAGCTAAAGGGTTTCTATGTTTTGGAAGATCTGTTTGGAAACAACTGCTCTTGGTTCAAGGATTGAAATAAAATTGATAACTGCATTTAATTTGAAGAATGATGAGAAGCTATCAAATTAATGCGCTATAACCTTCCTATAAACTTTTTATACCGTTGATGCTCCTCAGGCAGGAAAAATTTGGAAAAGCAAACTATCTGGAAGGTTATGTGCGACTCAAGCCCATTTAGGGCAATTCATTCTTCGGACTCTCCAAGACTAAATAATATGCTTCCAAAAATAAGAGGTGGGACGTTTTAAGTATTTATAGCAGCCATTTACTTGTAGTGCCTCTGCGTCACACAAAAAATACATTGCAGCTTTGTTTTATTGTGAAATGGAACATGCCCAAAATCTATGCATAAATGAGTTGCAGCAGAACAACAAGGACTTCACATTAATTAAGTATGCTGACGATATGGCCCTAATTGCTGATCTGAAAGACACCAGTAGCCCCTCCTACTCCAAGCTCATACATTTTTCATTCATTCAACCTTTATTTATGCAGGTTAATCCCACTGAGCCTCGGGGATTGGAAATTGGAAAATTAAATGAAATTATTGTAAATTAAACGAGATCAGCTCTCCGTCTGGTTTGATGACAGTTTTCTGGCCCTTAATGTCAGTAAAACCAAGGAGCTTTGTCTGGGAGGCAGATGGGAGCAACCAGCAACCTGTATTCAGACCTTCTGTTATAAAAGGGCAGGAAGTAGAGCAGATGACTGAATTTAAATATCTCGGAACAATAATTGATAACACGTTGACCTTTCAGCCCAACACTGACTGCATTTACAAAAAAAGCCAGACAGCATCTCCACCTTCTACAAAAGCCAATGAGCTTTAATGCTAGCAAAAACACCTTGCAATTGGTGTACAGGTCACTGTTTGAAAGTGTTGTTTCCTTTAATATTGTCTCATGGTATGGGAACCTCCAAGTCATAGAAAGAAACAAGTTGTCCCAGGTAGTCAAACAAGGTAGTAAAATCATTGGTCAACGAAAAAAGGCAATCCAGGTTTACAATGACCCAACTCATCCATGGCAACCATTACTCAGGTTGGTACCATCTGGCAGAAGACTGGTGGTTCCTCTGGTAAGAAAAATGGGTACAAAAACTTATTTGTTCCCTCTGCTGTCCTTAACGGGGTCCTATTTAAACGTAGCCTCGCATGACAGACACATTGTCTGCTGAGGTGTTTTTATGTTTTTAATGTAGCATGTATTTTAGAATTGGTTTTATAAGGTTAGCAACGCTTTTTAAAGTTTTATGGCATTTTTAACTTGGTTTTTTTTTTGTATGTATGAACCAGATGTCAAAGATAAATCTTAATCTCATGGAATGTTATGGACAATAAAGTTATATTGATTGATTGATTCAAGATAAATACAACATTAGACTAAACAGAACATTTAGCAAAAAACTGATATACAAGACTGATCAACAAAGGTATTAAAGTGGACTTTTTGTGGCAAAACAGCGGATTTTTGTGTTCACCACTCATACATGTGAAAATAGATCAAAGTTCGGAATTATATTTAGTAAAAAAGTAGACCAATGCAAATGTAAACAGCAGGTTTACCAGTATGCATTTAACTAAACAACACAATAACATGGTTAGAAGCGATCCTTCAAGGAAACCCATAAAAGGATGGTGGAATTTTTGTTGAAAGCACCATTCAAGTGGGGTTTTTTTTTGGTCATTGGAAATTAAATGAGACCAAGGTGAACAAATCATAGTTTGACACATTTGTTGTAATGTGGCCTTTGTTATTATTCATTCAAATTAATTCCACTGACGTGGCAATGCTTTGTTTTTAGGTTCCCATGGCAACGTGTCTGAGGAAAGCTCGCGCGGCTCACAGGACGGTCTCGACGGGCTCCCCGGGGACTACAAGCAGCACACGGTGGTACAACGGACTCAAACGGCGCCTGGCATCCCCAAGTGCAGACCCCACCCACCAGTCACTCGAGTGTGTACGGGTCCTAACGTGGAGACGAGGCGACCCCGCCTTCAAATAAACACTAACCCCTCGGTGACGGCCCACCTCAACAGCGTGCAGGGCTCCCAGCGAGTGGGCAGACAAGGCAACAAAGATGGCCGCTCTCCTCCTCCGTACAACGCACAACACAGACTGGCAGGTTCGCAAGGGTCCCCTCAGCTCGTGGTGTCTCAAGCCAGATCGAGCATGCAGAGTGACTCAGCCTCAACTAAGGAGACGCGAATGGCGCCACAGACTCCAGAGTGGCGCGACTGGCAGCGGGACCGGTATCAGATCTGGCAGCTCTTATCCTCGGACAACGCCGACACGCTGCCGGAAACACTGGTGTGAGCTCAGTCCGGGAACTCCTGATGGGCTTCTGTGGAAACTTGGAGAATTTGAACCTTTTCAAAGATGACTGCTCCTCATTCTTATCGTTTCTTTCCCCCGGCTTGTCTATACGCGAACCTCCTTATCTTTGTAAAGCCTTTGTTCTCTCCTGCATCTCATCGCCACAGTGTTGTTTACATGTGCAGCTGCTGCCTCATACGGACTTTTATTTTGAAATTTTAGAGCCATGAGTAACTCTTGGTTTGTATTCGTTTCAGCTTGTGTCCTTTGTTGCCTTTGTGTTTTGTCCACCATGACATTGTGTTTGGGGCACTATGCCCACTAAATATACCTCAGTGAAAAACATATTTTCGTAACGTTGACTTTTTTTCTCCAGGTCAAATTTTCATTGCTTTGCTTAAAAAATTATATATACTGTATATATATATGTATTTTATTATTCTCTCTATTTTTTTTTTTTTTTTTTACCTTACAAAGATGTACACATTAGTAACTGCTGCTAAACACAGACTTTGTGTCCAAACTATTAGTGTATTAATGTATGTCTTCAAAAAAGCAAAAAAAGGTACTTTGAACAAGTATTCACACTTTAAACTTTCTTTTAAGTTTTTCTTCTTACAACCAAAAACTCCAAAGTACTTTAGGGGGAATTTGTGCGATACTCTGACAAAAATGGCAAAATTATAAAGTGGAAGGGAAACAATGGTTTTAAATAAATAAATAAATAAATCTTATATGTGGCATGTTTTGCATTCAGCTCTCCTGAGCCGATAATTTGTAGAAACCAACCATTGCTACAATTACAGCTTTTAATCTCTTTGGGGTTTGGCTTTTCAGAATAAGGCTCTCTTTGCCTGGCCTGGAAGTTTAGGTGAAGGAACTTTCTGGTAGATTTCTGGTAGATTTGCAGTTTTCCAACGTCTTTCCAGTTTTAGACGATGGATTAAAACCGTGAGATTCAAAGTTTTGGTGGTTGTTTTATAACCCAGTGGTCCTAACTCTGGTCCCTGAGGAACACCATCCTGCATGTTTTAGTTGTTTCTCTGCTCCAACACACCCGATTCAGTGATTTAATTAAGTTCTGCAGAAGACAGTTAATCACCCGTTAATTCAAATCAGGTGTGTTGGAGCAGAGAAGCAACTAAACCATGCTGGACGGTGTTCCTCAGGGACCAGAATTGGAAGCTAGTGTTATAACCTTACAGTGTTTGTGCCATCCTGTAATAAACAATGTATTGTTGGAAAGACAACATTATGTTTTGATGAACCGTTGTTAAGATATCCACATATGCAGTAACAGGAAGTGATGTTAAAAGGGAATGCAGTTACTTCCTGTTCAGCTTTGGCTGTGCCAAGTACAAAACAAAACATGCCAGTTATATGACAAAATGGAAAAAAAAATCATGTATATTATTCTAAATTTCTTAAATACAGGTGAGTGGTGGCATACAGGTTAGAGAAGGTGGGCCTGTGATTAGAAGGTCGCTGGTTCAACTACCCGAACCGACAACATCAAAATGTGGGTGGGAAGGTGAAACCCCCTACACCTGCCTCCACTCTCATTTGCCCCACTCTAGGCTCTTGAGCAAGGCCCTTACACCCCACCATCTGCTCCCTCGGAATGGAGGCAGCCGAAAGAAAAAGAAAGAATTCTAAATGTTTTAATATTAAGATGTTTTCTTTCACTTTTTGTATTTGTAGGACTTGCATGTCACAGACACTAAACTAAGAGTATCCCTGACCTAAGAAGCATGTTCCTTGCTCTTCATGATGCTGCTCTGAAACAAATCTCTGAAGCCTTCACAGAACAGTTGAATTTACACAGAATATTCTCAATTTAGATGATTTCTGAAGGCGGATGACTGATGCTGAATGAAAATGCATGCCACATTTTACAGAAGTGAAAACCATGTGCATATACACAGTATTCCCTCGATACACTGCGGTTCAACTTTAGTGGACTCACTCTTTCACAGGCTTTCTATATAAGATTGTACACAGTTTCCTGGTGGCCTGGGCGCTCTGTGATCGCCGAGGGGTCCCCTCCTTTCTCTTTCTGAGGCTGTCAGCCTCAAAAATAGAAAGGAGGGGGCAGGGGTGGAGTCTGTCTTTCCCCATTGCTACTGTGGGAGCTTCAATGAGACGGATATCAGAGTGAGCGGCATGGATTGTTTATTTAAAATAACTTAGCTCAACCCGAACCGAGCTGGGACATTTCCCGTTACTCCTGATGGCCAGTCCGCCCCTGGGCGATGATTTGCTCAATAACTGTAGCAACTTTTAGAACACTGTTAACATTGTAAGAGTGTGGGAAGGGTTTATAAAGCCTTAAAATATATATAAATACTCAAATAAATATAACGTTCCTACTTGGCGGATTTTCACCTATCGAGGTGGTGTCTGGAACGTAACCCCTGCTATAAGCGAGGAACTACTGTACTGTATGTACTTTTTTTTTGCCACTATGTCGCATTTATTTCCAGTAAAATACTTGAAAGTTTTTGGGTGTAACACAAAATGTGGAAAAGGTCAAGGGTGTACTTTTTCAAAGCCCTGATGTTAAATAACATTGGACCTTACATCATATTCAAACTGTAAGCAAATGCGCATAAATATTACATGTAAATTAATGTGTAAAATGTATATTTTTTTCCTCAAAGTATCTACCTAAATACACAACAGCCACTTCACCGGCAGTCTAGATGTTTTGTCAGACCTCTGGTCCTATTTTTCATATTGAATATAAAATGCTTCACTTTTGGCTGAGCCCTTGTTTCACAAAAGTTATCAAGTGAGTTTGTTTATTTGTGCTTATGCCGCCTTTTGGACTGCAGGAATAATGTGCCAAAACCTCTTTGTTTGTTAAAGTTTGTTGTTTTTGTCATGCATCCAATTGTTTCTCACAAGAGACTGAGGGTTTGTTGGTTTTTTTTTGGTTATGAGGTGGGCATAACACAAGAATAATCACTCCTTAAAGACTATTTACACTACCGGTATTCACTTTTATGCATTTTTATGAGCCATAAGGTAGATAAAGAAAAAAGTAAATGCTTGCTGTC